CATACAGCGTATATACTTCGAGATGCCCCGCGATTTAAAAGTGAGATTTCAGAGCTTGTGACTTGCAACAGTAAAAACGGAAGCGATTGATCGGATTTCTTTACTACTGAGAGTTCTCTCGTGTTTGTAAAAAGAAGAGAAAAGAAAGGAAAAAAACTTGCTCGAGTGAACCACGCAACCTGATCATTTAATGGATAATCTTTTGAAACTTTTATTTGCTGAGAAAAGCTTTCAATGGTAAAAAAACAGCCGAGGGCAATTTTCGACAATGAAGCTCTCGGCTCTCGCACTTAGCGCGAAACAAGAAAACAAATGTAAAAATTGCCTCGAAAGTTCCTCGCGATCGATGAATCGAAGTTTCACCTACTAATTGGTTAACCGATTTAAGCTTTAATTAATTATCGCCGACAGATGCGAACGGGGACGAGCGAGTTCATGAGCACCTCGCTTTTTGTTTCCCTCTTCCTCATTCGCGTCGTCGAAGAGAAAGAGCTATGTAGGTATCTTATATAACTTCTATGATATTTTCTACGAGGAAGAATCGTCAAAAAGATTTCTATTCTAAAGATTAAAATTAACAAATGACCAAGCACTAGACGCGGTCGCTGTTGAAGAAGACTTTGAAATTTATGTCCATTTTACGATAGTGTCCACTGTCTTGCGATCTTTATATTGTCACGCGTACTTAAACGTTTGATTTCGTTCTAAACACGTGTACAATGCATAACGATGGAGCATACTGGATTGTTGCTACGTACATTCGGTTGCACCGTTAATGGTTTTCGATCGATGGCGAATCGATGAGCGACAAAAAAAGAAGCGTAAGGGTTGTGATTAAGTAATGACGTAGCGATTAGACTAGACACTTTGATTCATTTTCCTCCCGTGGAAAGTCATATTTTTCTACGCATCAGAAGTTCTATCATAACGAGCAATTTAGGCATGTATATGTATAACTATCAAGAGAGTAACGGGAGCAAGTCTCACTATCTGTGAAACTTGCGAAAACGCTGTCGTGAGCATCTTCGATTGGCCAACGATTAAAAAATCGTTAATAAATACATTATATCGTAGCATATGCTTCGTATTTCCGGATTAATTTGCGAAAGATCGAAATCACGACAGTGATGAGTTCGATCGTGTTAAAGAACGATTACGCAGAAAAAGACGATACAGAAGATATAAGAACGAGGAGTGCCAGAATAATAAAACGTGCAGCTCGCTTTGTGGAAAAAAAACACTTGTAACATAAACGAATAAAAAGAAGAAAGAGAAGCCGAATAGTCGACTTCTATTTGCCTTTCGTTCAACTTTTAGTGCCAGTCCGTATGCAACGCGAATATTCGTCGAATATATTATATATATTATTTAAAACACTATTGTATCAAAAATAGTTCCGCTCAAATTCTTATCAAATCTTTCAGTCACATTACCATTCGTGAAATTTCTCACAAATTTCAATACCAAAGGGAATCGTCTAAATTCCAATTTGCCCAAAAATTTTATGTCAGAATTCAACAAGTTACTTGTCGTTTTTCTCTTTATATGTCGGACGTCACGTATATTCGTATATCGAGTGGTACTAACATAACAGCGTATAGGACTGAAAAATGAGGAGTGTATTCGATTTCCTCGGAGACGAGGAAATCGAATACTTTTTTGTTGAAAAAAGTTTAAAGTTGGTAGAACAAGCCTCCTTCGCGAACGAGAGTCCTCGGGTCTATTCGTTCTAGTTGCAATCTCTCCGCTTTTATTCCCTTTTCCTTTTTTCCATTCTACGCCCGATTTCCACGTCAACTAATTTATTTTGAATATGAGATGCAAGTATGAGTGCAAATGGAACGAGTGGACCTTCTAACAGCGACGATGAACTTGAAAGGTGACCGAATTTTTGTAATGCACACAATGTTTTTGCGCTTACGCATGTATCTGTGCGTGCCTATATGTATGATGAAAAGTCACATTGCGAGTCTTCTCGATTTCTTCGTTATTCAGCCTTTTTCGAGGAAATTTGTGAATTTGTGTAAATCCTCCTCACTTCATTAATTTTGTCTCCGTCATACATACTTGTACACGCAGATATACACGATAAACACAAAAACAAGAAAACGATGTATAAAATGAACGTTAGGTAAATATAAACGTGACAAAAATTGAGACGAATTGCTGCTCATTCCTGTAATTATCAGCGATTTGTTCGGTTTTCATGTAAAGCATCAAAATAATAAATGGTATTTTTTGTCGACGTAGTCATCCGATTTTTGTTTTCATGAAAAACTATCCTTTTTTTAGGCATTGTCGCAAAACAAGTGAGAAGTATTGTTATGTGAGTTATATATAAATATAATAAGTGAGTATAACCATTTCGGCCAAACACGCACGGACAACTAATGAGATCAGAATTCATTGCTTATTGATTACAGGTGTGGCGTCATAGCAAGCGAGACGTCACGCAAGATGCAACCCACATTTAAAAGGAACAAGAAATGCCTTATTTGGGGAGCACTTTACGCGCGCCGTCCGCATAGAAAATTCGCGACGCGCAAGTATAATGGGCGAAAAAAGCTATGTTATCTAGTTTACGTCGATCGAGAACTTTCGGCGCCCGTCGCACAATTAGAACAGTCGGTACGACCAACACATTCCGATTTTCAAACCTATTCCCCCACGTTCGTACTTTTCCGAATATTATCGCAGTGTCTCGAGACGGCGAACGACATGCATAACGGAGCCAACGTAGCTTGTTTCCCGCATCCCAATCGTGATAATATGCGCGCGAAACGGTTATTTTCGACTAATTAAAATCACAGATAATACAAAGCAACTTACTAAACCCGCAATCTGCCGCGCAGCCATTACAAAAGAACGGTTGAGATATTTGAACGGCGTTACGTGCAAATTAAGATACACTGAGCGCCATCATACGGTGAACATACAAACTTTGAGCTCGAATTCCCGGCGATTTATTGCGCGAAATATCTACTTTTGACGGCTTACGATATTTCGACATGCAATGGCACAATGCTTATATTCTTGACGCGAATTCGCCTTTATCGACAAGTCAACAGTGCAAAAATTCGCGAACTTCGGATAACTATAACACGATCAACAGGTTAAACACTGACCGATATTGCCGACGGTACATACGCGACATAGTTTTAGCGACATAATCCAAAGATATCTTACCGTACAAACTCCATTCTAGTATTTTGGATAACGGTAATTCGTGTACGAGATCCATTCCAGTCAAAATCACGCGATGAAAAGAATAGCATCGCAGATCTACACCATCTCGTCGTGATCTAGATAAGTGCAGCCATCTGCAGCACAGCGCGAGCAAGAACAGTCGCTGTCCGAGAACTCTCAAAGTTCCGAAATATCGATACGCAGGTGGTCTTCTCTCTCATGAGCTCACAGATGTCTATACTAAAGGCGCGTTCGAAAACTTCAGCCGGATGCTTCTCCTTTCTCTTTATCACACTCCTGTATCTTTCTCATTTCAATGCAGCGAGTGCACCCGGATAGAGTTTTCGAACGCACGCTAAACTAGATTGCTAACAAGGACTTCGAACGTGTGTCGCGTAAAGTTTCCGGTTGCATGCGAGAAAATGGCGGCGTCCTGTATGTGTGACGTATCACTTGTGTGAATATTTACACGTCAATATGAGTAGCGTGATCATTAAATTACTGTCGTAAAACCAAAAAATGCCAGCATCTTATTGCATCAAACAATATCGTGATAAAAAAATAGATGGTATTGGACGTTATTTGCTCTGCTCATTTTCAACAAAAGAATTTTATGACTAAACGTAGTGAAAATATGTGACGGTAGAGGCCATTTTCTCACATGCACCGGAAACTCTATCGGACACAAGCCGTTATATGCTTTTAGATAGCCTGTTAGCGATCTAGGCTGCGTTCCGAAATGCATTGCTAGTACTGAAAATCTATAGTTCATGTTACATATATTATAGAATTTCAGTACTGGCAGCGAATTTCGGAACGCAGTCCTAGTTTAGTATAGACATCTGTGCACGAACTCCACAGTTTCTAACCGCGTAAATGGCGGCATTACAAAACAATTATTATTCAATTATTACGTCGATTATTGGTAGAAATCGTGAAACACGTTGAATATTACGCGTCACAGTCGCCAAGTGCTACTTGGCATGCATTACACTCGTAAAACGATGCCGATGAGGTCGATTAAACATTTTAAGAACTGACAAGATATTCTTGTCACCCATAGAATATTGAGGTTCCGATACAGTGTCGCTTTATACGCGTCTTAGCGACTTTAATAATAATGACGCAGTTATAGAAAGTTCGCGAAGCGTGAAAATATTAGAAAAAGACAGCGTTATCTCTCGCGTCTATCTAGAGCTTCTCTCTCTCTTTTTTTCATGGTTACTAGAACACCACATAGCGCGCACTTTAGCCTTTTCGTTGTACTGTTTACAATTTATATTACAATACTTGTTTTTACAAATTATATTCCCAGCAAACACAATATTACATATAACGTACATGTTAGTTGTAATTTCCTATTCAACAATGTAACTGTTATACAACACGTATATTATATAACAGTTATATTGTTTGTTGAGTAAGAAATTACAACTAACATGTATGTTACATGTAACATTGTGTTTGTTGGGATTACAATAAATATTGCCTTGACAATTCCAAGGCAACGTTCCAAAAATCGCCAGGTCCAAACACGTCCTGACGTGACGGCGGTTAGGTCGGGGTACATATTATGGACTTCTTCGGAATCAATTCCGATCGGAATAATTCCGTTTCCTCTAGGAAAGACAATAGAAATCTGGGAAATAATTGAATGTTTCCGATCGGAATTGAAGAAGTCCATAATAGGTAGCCGGGACTATGGCCGATATTCATAGTCGGATTTTATTTTTAAGGCTGGCTTAAGTTCATCTTCAGATGCTCCGTAGCCAATGAAATGATCTGTTCATCATCTGAAGATAAACTTAAGACGGTCTTAAATATAAGATTTGACTATGAATACCGGTCTATCTATCTACAGCCGTCGACATCCGCTACCCGCCCGCCGCCGAGCGATCAACAAGACTGCGTAACCTTAGCAACGCACGCGCCTGCCAGTCCGCATGCGCGTTGCGAGTCGTGTGATTTTCTGCCCATTGTTCCTCAAGACGGGGCGAGAAATGGGCGTACTGCGCGGCGTATTTTCCGTATTCTCTCTCTCTCTCATTCGTCTCAGGCCTGCGTATTTTACGTATTTGGATCGCTATAATCTTTGTGCAAGGTTTATTCTCAAGTAGTTAAAGTGGCGAATAATGTGATCGCGAGTGACTTACTAATGCTTAGAGTGACTTGCTAACTGACACGTTTTCATACAGTATATTGTAATTCATCATATTTTATTAATATTAATAATTGTACGTTGAAATATCGAAGTATCAAATTGAGAGAGAAAAACTTAATATCAGGGGTCAAAAACTCGGCATGCCCCAATCAATACATCATTCTTCAATATAAATGTTTATAATGTTAGTAATAATTTTATATACCTTATACATTATGGAATTATGTACATTATTGAAATATATTCACTATGGGGAAATTTATATTGATGTTTCGTGAATTCAAGACTAAGCAAAATCGTAAGTCTCGTAACTTGTTCTCGTAAAATTCATGAATCTAATTGGATTTAACATGCTCTTGGATTTAACTAAAATTAAGAGCATATTCCAATGAGATTCATGAATTTTACAATAATTGCAAAGCAGCTTTCTCTGTTGAACGCAGCCATTGATTTTCAAGGACTCTCGAAAGTGCAAGGTATCGATACGCAGCTGACGCCCTCTCATGAGCTTCACATTCACTCCTAACCGCGCATTCCAAAGCAGTTCAACGCATTGGAGGTATCGAGGTAAATAGCCATTAGAAAATAATTATTATTCGACTATCATGTCGATGATTACATAGAAATCACTGGAATGATCTCTTAGACTTGTTACGATAAAATGCGTCTGTTCGCAACATTTCATACTAGTCTGAACTACAATCATCATCGCTCTGTGTTTATCGTGTCTTTTTATCTGTCGAAAGTGAATTTCATACGCGAGCGAGTGAGTGCCGAGAATATCGAAATTTCTGACTTCGCTTTATTGCGCTTTCACTTGATCAGTCGTTTTATTAGTCGTCCTAAATGAATATCTAAATTATTAACGCGATATCTCAATATTTCTAATTAATGTCGATTGTGTTATTTCAGAAAAATGGTGGCATACCAATGGAGGAAAAGGAGATCTGCATCTACTTCTTCTTATCGATAAAATTGGGTGGAGCTTCAGCGTTTATACGATGCTTTCATGCTTGGTAAGTTTGTGCCTTCTTTCGAGTTAGTTTGCAATAATACATTGAATCGAATTCTCTCTCACTACTGACAAGATATTATTAAACCTGTAATGCCAAACCTATTATACAGTATCAATCTTATAATATTTCTAAACGCGATTTAATTAATATTCTGTAATACTATTGACTGACCAATAAATTCGATGTAGCAGATGTAGTTGATGCAGACTCTAAGATCTATTCTTGTTAGCTGCACTTTTTTAAATTTCCTTCAAATTTTTCTCTTTGTTTCCATCTCTTTTCTTTCTTTCTCGTCCAACTCAGCATATACCTATTTTGCTTTAAAAGCAAAAATTATAATATTAAATCTGTTCTTTTTCGAAAAACTTTCTAAACAAGTGTGCACTGGTGCAATAAATAAAATAAGACAAGTATATTACTTCACTCTAATTTATTAGTCGCTTTCCAGCAAAAGAAAATTATTTCATTATAAATATAATCTAAAATTGACCTGAAGATGGTTTCTATCCAATGATACAACTTTGTGTCTCTCGCTAGAAATCAACTTACACCAGTTCATGAAATTCTTCAAAAAAGACAGCCTCATGGTGTAGCTAAAAAGAACAGACTGTACTGATGGCGGTTCGCATCGTCTTCGGCGCGACTTGTAGTTTAATGCGGCCATTGACAGTTTCTGAGTTTCGTTGAAGCTGTTGCACGGTTTGTGTCGTGATGTCAAAGGGAAAGGTTTCGGCGGAATGGAGGAAACGGGTGAAATCGGAATATATGCGCTTACGGCAAATGAAACGCTACAAGCGTGCGGACGAGGTCAAAATTGCATGGAACCAGAATCGCAAAGCTATGACAGGCAAGTTGCGCTCTCCCGCTTTTCTCGTTGAGATTTTACGATTCCTAACCTCTAAATATACCTTTATTTTTACTACGAATAATCGAATATATAAAGAGACTTTTATTTATCCGTTTATTGTAACGAAAAACATATAAAACGTTGCAATATCAACACATCAACAAGTCTGTATAATGTTGCATGATACTTTATATGCGATTTAAAAATATGCTCTAACATGAATGCAATTTTTAAATATTTGATCAATTTGAACTTTCTAGGACTTACGTTTAAATAATTTCTTCAGTTTTTGTTTACACTTTCTTCATATCTACTTTGTATGAGTTGGAAACATAATTAAGAACAGTACATAATTTCTGCGCACAATTTTGTGCTGCGATTATTGTTACATATATTTATTGAACAGAGCTTCTTGTGGCTGAACAAAAACGTTGGGCCGATGGAAAGGCCATGTGGTTGGCTATGCAAGATATTCCACCTCATCTTTCTTGTATGAAGAAAGCAGAGATTACTAGCTCAGATGGCGATGTGCAAACATGCCCTATCAAAATAATTAACGCGGTCACTCCTATACCAACTATGTATACATGGGCACCTATTCAACAGAATTTTATGGTAGAAGATGAAACTGTTTTACATAATATTCCTTATATGGGTGATGAGATCTTGGATCAAGATGGTACTTTTATCGAGGAACTTATCAAGAATTATGATGGAAAAGTATACAAAACAACTTATATTAATATATTAATAATTAAATAAAAAATCTTACTAACGTTAATTTTGTCACTCCAGGTACATGGTGACAGAGAAGCTGGTTTTATGGATGATTCTATTTTTGTCGATTTGGTGAATGCACTGATAAATTATGAAAAAGAAGATAAAGAGAAGGAGCAAACAAGAAAGGGAAAAGAACCTTTGAGAGAAAAAGACAACCAAAAAGAAGATGAGAGAAAAGATGTTGATGGAAAGTGCGAAATAAAGACAGAGAAAAATGAAAATGGAAAACCAATAATTGTTCCATTTCCATCAATGCATATATTCAATGTAAAGCAATTATGAATATGTAATATTTTAATATAATTCTGGAACAAGCTAGTTTAAATTATTATTTTTAGGCAATATCAAGCATGTTTCCTGACAAAGGCAGACCTGAAGAATTAAAAGAAAAGTATATTGAATTAACAGAAAGATCAGATCCAAATGTTTTACCTCCAGAATGTACACCTAATATAGATGGTATAAATGCAAAAAGTGTACCTAGGGAACAGACAATGCATTCCTTCCACACTTTGTTCTGCAGGAGGTGCTTCAAGTACGACTGTTTCTTACATCGTGAGTACATTAAAAAAAAGCAATATCTTTAATCCAAGTTGTATTTTGTGAAGAATAAAGTATGATGTATTTAAAAATATATAGTGGAGTGGAATGAAATATAATATTTAAAAATAGAATAAAATTAAAATGTGGCTGGAAAAACTTCACTGAAATGCAACTGATAAGTGTTGTATATTTATAAATGTTCTAAGCTGAATGTCTATTAATTACAATAATTTGTGATTCCTGATTTATCGTAGCAGCCAGGGGGACTTCGCCGCAAGGTAAAGAACAACATTGCATACAAAACTAATGCATTCGATCAAAAGCTTTTTTTTGTTTAGCACAGAGGCATCGTCAAGGGCTCATCCACAATCATATTTCATTCATCGTCCATCGCTGTGTCTACTAAATTTTTCTCCATTCAACTCATGCCGCAAGTCAGCCGAAAGAGTACATACATAATGAACTTATAATATTGCTTCTAGGTCTGCAAGTTTGCCACCCGGGACCTAATTTGCTAAAACGGAAAGGGCCTGATTTGAAACCATTCTCGGAACCGTGCGGGACAGAATGTTACATGCATCTGGTAAGTTGTATGCTTTTACATCAGTGAAACACCACTTTCAAAGTATAAACTTCATATCGCAATTTTTTCTTGACTATATGTAATATCAACCTGTATCTTTTGTATCTTTTATAATCTCTTATCTTAATTGAATATCTGAGAGCCTTCATGACAAATACTCAATGTTGCAATCTTTCCGTAGGAGGGAATGAAAGAGAAACTAGCAGCACAAGCAGCAGACATAAAGGACGATGAAGGCGATGAAAAACGCGGTGGCCCTCCAAGAAAAGTACGAAAGCAAGCAAGCGTTGATTCGGGAAATGAAGCGAGCAGTGAAGATAGCAATGATAGTAATAAATATGGTCAAGGAGGTGGTTGTCAAGGTTAATATATTGTAAGAATATTTCTTGCATAATTGAAATTAAAGTTCTAACAGTTTGTTATTGTCCAAATTAGATTTTAAACAGAATGTTAATAAAGACACCAGGTCCGAAGTAATAATGGAAGATCAAGCGCAGCCGGAAAACCAAACGCCTTTCACTCTGTTGGGTCTTGATATTAAGATGGACAATAAATTCACATGGACAGGTTCTGAGCAGAGCTTATTTCGTGCTCTACACAAAGCGTTTCCCGGTAATCCGTGTGCGTTAGCGCAAATCATGTTAACAAAAACGTGTAAAGAAGTTTACGAATTTGCGCAAAAAGAAGCTTCGGACATCCCAGCTATAGAAAATCTCAAGGACTTCACACCGCCACGAAAGAAGAAGAAGAAGCATCGTTTGTGGTCGATGCATTGTCGAAAAATACAGCTTAAAAAGGACTCAGGTACGTTAAGTGATTAGCTTAAATCTGCACTATCTTTTCTTTTAATCTTTCTAATTTATATATATTCCATTTTGATAGGTGCTAATCACGTGCATAATTTTGCACCTTGTGATCATCCTGGTCGTGCATGTGATAACTCATGTCCATGTATACAAGCACAGAACTTCTGCGAAAAGTTCTGTCAGTGCAGTAGTGAATGCCAAAACAGATTTCCCGGATGTAGATGCAAGGCACAGTGCAATACAAAGCAATGTCCTTGTTACCTGGCCGTCAGGGAATGCGATCCGGATCTCTGCCAAACCTGTGGCGCAGATCAATTCCAAATCACGAGGATATCTTGCAAGAACGTCAGCGTACAACGTGGTCTTCGTAAGTTTCATAAAATATAAATGGGAAATGAAAATCGGTATAATCTTGATGAACCGATTTTCCGAAATTTCTACTACGAATATACACGAAAAAGAACTTTACGCTAAATATCATATTTTATTTATATTCGCGAATAAAAATATAAAACACAATCTACACAAAGAACCCATATCTTCATAAGAACATCATAAGACTATACCGATATCATTTTTTAATTTAAATGTGTTCATTGCTAATGAAAAATTAAGAACAAAGATTTTGTATTTGTCTCCTTAGACAAGCATCTATTGATGGCACCATCTGACGTAGCGGGATGGGGAATTTTCTTGAAAGAATCAGCAGCAAAGAATGAATTTATATCAGAATATTGCGGTGAAATTATTAGCCAAGACGAAGCTGACAGGAGAGGGAAAGTATATGACAAATATATGTGTAGTTTCCTTTTCAATCTCAATAATGGTAAGTATGAGGTAAATCGTTAATTTTATGTTAGAAAACAATAAGAATTGAAAACTCTTTGTTGTTTTTAGATTTTGTCGTAGACGCGACTCGAAAAGGAAATAAAATAAGGTTCGCTAATCACTCGATAAACCCCAACTGTTATGCAAAAGTGATGATGGTGAACGGCGATCACAGAATAGGTATTTTTGCCAAGAGAGCAATTCAGCCTGGTGAAGAATTATTTTTTGACTATAGGTACATTTTACTATAATATTTTATAATTGTTATTAATTGTAAATAATCAAAACCATGTGAAAATTTTCAGATATGGACCAACGGAACAACTCAAATTTGTCGGCATCGAACGAGAAATGGAATTCCTGTAATATATATGTATATATATATATATATATATATATATATATATATATATATATATATATATATATATATATATATATATAT